TAGCAATTGCCCTGTTCTTTGATGTTGTATGTTAGAAGGGTAGGGCAGAATTGATTTAATGACATATAACACAASCTTACACAATCKACAAGCACTCCATATTAGGAAACAGCYACAAACTGATATCCGTAACARGCAAGTTGATTGACAGGAATATTTTACAAGACATTGAGAAAAGCACATTTTAAGAACACTTTTAAAATAAACTATAAATYTCATGTGAAGTTTACAAAAGAACACAACTTCACTTGGCCACAATAATAAAAGGGAATTTAACAAGAAWAGACTGCACTTTGAATGTAATGATTAATCTTTGATTATAGGTTCAAACAGATGCCCAACAAGTAGGTCCTTCACAAGTTGTTTTTAACATAGCTGACATAGAGAATGTCCATCACTTGGTGGTGTTCTTAACTGGGTCCATACCATTTCCTGATGGAATGGGGGGGTCAGTGTATTTAGGATATCCTAGTTCACAGGGACCCCAATGGCAGCTGCTTGGCTTTATTTCTAATACCAAACCAAGTGCAATATTCAAGATAGATAAGGTTTGATATATCTTCAATTTTATTYCTTATTTTCAATATTGCAGCCTATAATTACAACATCAATGGCTGACATTCATCATTTGTCTTAGAATCTCAACAGATTGAATAAAAACACCAATAATAATTACCTCTAAAGACTTTTTTCATTAAATTTCTTATAGAATTGTACATTTTCTTATGAAATTGTACATTTTCTTATGAAATTGTACATTTTCTTATGAAATTGTACATTTTCTTAATATGAAATTATACATTTTCTTATGTATAGTTTACAACATGAACGGGCGTGTTGTATGGGAATTACAATCTCGAGCCGCATGCAAGAGATTGTAATTCCCATACAACACGGACGCGAATGTTGTAAACGACTTATAAAACTCCAATTACACAAATTAACATGAATTACAGTGAGATAAATGACGAAAAATGACAAATAAGGTAACTGCTGAGTTTAGTCCCTATTAAGCATGCGCAATTTACTGCAACACAGAACATTTTGAATAATTGTCCATCCCACATGGAAAGCAAGCCATCTGTTGCATATATAAGCGAGTTCTGTTATCCTTCTTTGATTGCTTCAAAACCTAGTGAAGGTCTATGATGCGACACTAAAACTGAGACCTTTGCTAGTGTTGGGTTGTCTCAATGGTGACGACCGTGTTGTAAATCTGATACACCACTAGTGTTGTATCAGATTTACAAGGTCAATCACCTGATTAAATGGTCAGCCCTTATTGGAGCAATAGCTTATGCATTATTAATAAGTTTTATAAGAAATTTTAAATTTTTAGAAAAATTATATATTATAATCATAGTAAATGTGTGCTTGGCTTTGGATGATATTGGGCATGAGATCAGGATCAGAATTGGCACAAGTGTATAGAGATACTACCCAATTACATTAAAAAACTAAATGTTTAATGAATTGTTTTAAAATATTTTATATTTTAGTAGTTATTGAAAAATTGTAAGTAATTGAAGTGTGTAAATAMAATTTTTTGTTGTTGCTGTTGTTGTTTTGATGGGATATGATTGATCAGTAAATTGTATTTGACGTGATGTAAGATGATTGATTGGTTTGGACWGGAGCAGTTTAGAATGTATCAGACAGGCATGGATGAGATGTGGATTATATTCCGTGGAATGGGATGATATATGATATATTTTGTCAATAGTTTGTTATTGTGAATTTTTCCAGTAGACAATAGTGTATCTATAGCCAGTATAGCTACAGCATGATTGGAATTGGTTAAACAAGTTAGGACAACAAGAGTTAATTTTGACGTTTCGGCGCCATCGCRCGTCATTTTCAAGAATAGTTTATTAGATCGATCACGATTGGAATAGACGTCTGAAGCTTTTATGTCATGTACCGTATATGCAGTGCATTGTAGGATATGTTTGGGACAAAACATGGCGGAATTCTTTTGTTTTCTCTTGAAACTGATCCCACAATGCATTGAAAATCAAGTAGTGATGTAAAAGGTTCAGAAGTCTARTGTTATGTTTATTGAAGTGAATGTGTATAATTGAATATAATTTATCTATTTAGGCCAAACCAGAAGATGTTGTCAGCAATCCATTTTCATTCCAAGTTTCTCAACAAGACCACACGGCAGCTCAAATAGGAATATCCATTGAACCGTTAGTTCAACTTGCACAGCAAACACCAATAGCCAACTCCACACCATCAACATTAAACTCTTTTGTTCAATACACACAAAAAATGCTGGAAAACTTTGTCAATTTTTCGATGTCATTTGCTGTCACTCAAGCTGAAATGACTCCAAATCCACAAGAAACATTTGTYCCGATGAGTACAGTACAAAAATGGTACGCAAACTTTGAGAGAAAGCTTACCGCTGACCCTAATTTCTGGAAAAAATAGAGGCTCTGGTTAAAATTGTTCACAGGAACAAAGAACTAGTAATACGAGACGTTAACTCTATTGTAGGCACATGTTAGAATGCTCTAACATCTAAGGACCAGAAATTACAGGTGCGGTTTGGAATTGCGAAGGTGTTAGTGAAAATCAGTATGGCTGGCCTGGCCAGCCTCGTTTTCACGTTTTGTTACATTTCAAATGCTGGTAACTCTGCTGATATTCAACATTTGAAACTAAAACTCCGCCAATTTACTAGTTGCGATATACTRCTTCTCTCGGTGAAAACAAATGTTTAAAAATATGGACCGTTTAATGTGCTCATTCCAAGTCTTCTGCTCGTTTTTCTTATGGCCAATAGTAAGTTAGAACCAGGGTACATCAATGAATCCACCTGCAGTAAAGCCAGCATTTATTACATTAATTAATAACAGCAAAACAACGTCCAACATTAGAGCTGTGACGAAATGTATTGATAAATTGACAATAGTCTACAAATACTAAGTATATCAGATGGAACTGATCATTGTTAGCTGCGTATTGTCTAGAGCAAGAAAATTATGCACAATTTGACCGGTAGCAAATTGACTTTTATTGCAACAATTTGTCTACACTACTCAAATAGTGCATAGTGGCAGACACATTTTATGTATGCTACTCGTTTTCTCGATAAAAGTACAACAGGAGTATAAACAGCTGAAAAAAATATAGTGATATACAAAAAAATTGATATACAAAAAAATACGTCGTACGAAAAGGGGGATGTGTCCGCACCCAAAGCACCTCCCCTGAATCCGCCCCTGAAGCGGGAAAGCATTTCTTCGCTGACTATATCGAGGTTCGTCCTTACGGAGAATTTATTCTTTCCAACTTATCAATATATGTTCCATATTTGACTCCAGAAGAGTATTTRAAGCTGCTAGGGTTCTTGATATCATTAGAAGCATTCAGCTGACAATTGTTATGAACCTCTCCAAAGTAGTTGAAMGACTGGCATCTTTTCTCCTTCAGACACAATTGTGCGCATTCCAGGGAAGTAGACACGCTGTTACGGGATAGACTATGGCCAATCAATATCCTGTGAGACTGATAGTTGTATGTTCTTGATAAGTCTGCAATTATATTAGTGAAATCAGGTTTGTTGTTTGTTTGTGAGGCTTYTTTTTCGGTTGGTTATAAAGCTMAAAGTTTATTGTCGTTAATCAACCAACCGACTAACGACACCAACCAGCCTTACAAGCAACCACAGACCAGCTTATCGATTCAATCAGCCGAAAAAAAGCAGTCCTTTGCACCAAATSAGCATGCATAGCAATCTACAGAAGCAAATTACATGGTCGATGTAAAAAACGAAACAACACTACATTGAAAAATCTCAACCAACCGCCYTACCCTGTGAGCCGAAGCGCCACTTAGGTGGACACGAAAATGGCGGCTTCGTAGGACTTCCTAGTGAGCGTGAACCGTCTTCCTTCCTTTTAAGTAACAATGCGTGCAAAAAGCAGGCAACCTTCTCTATTGTTCTGCGGCAATTGCAACTTCCCCACATACGAATGTCTTGGTTTTCACACTGATTAAGTATCAACCTATGGGTAACACACTTTTAAAATAACTGATGTGGATAAACTCTGTTTTGAAACAAAGTTTCTTTTGTATTAAAAGATCTTGTCCAATCATAAGCACTCAAAACAATAGCCAAAAGATGCTTCTAATTTGCTATGTTCCCCACATAGAATTGCTATTAATATTAAAGCTAAGGAAAGCTTTTATGAAGTTAGAATCAGATATTAAATAAAATATTAAAAAATGCGATTACTTTTGAAATTATGTCAGATTTTAATGTTTTAACCAATGAGATGGCTGGATTATACAATACAAAATTAGCACCTTCATGCATTCCATTGCCGTTTGCTTGCCTGCTTCTTACTCGGACCATTACTTAATTTTTATCAGAAACARCTTTKACTAATTATCTCACATGTACTATCKTTCTATTGTAATCTATTGTATGCTTGACCCATTTAAACGTGTGTGTAAACAAGAACTCGAGCGCGCGCTGTATTGCGGTTGGTTGGGATTCTTCTAGTTGTCCGCTCACTGTTYCCTCGAATTGTGAGACGACTACGGACAATTTATCTACAAGGAAATTGGTAATAAAACAAGAAATGAACCCACCAATTAATTCCTATTTTAGAGAATTGCGTCGTTAGTTATTTGAAAAAGGACACCGCGGATTTGACAGCAAGTGCAACAAAAATGCTCTTGTCGTAATGTCTAGTCCTGTGTATCGGTTTCTACTTACACGTTCGAGTACATGCCGATGATGGCTGTGTGATATTTCCATCAACGAGAGTTTGGTTGAGCGAGGCCAGTTTCCATGACAACACGTTTCCATCATACATATCGCATCCCATGTAGATTTTTTTGACGTTAATATGGTTCAGTTCTGTGTCCCAAATATTTATATGACTCAGTCTTCCAGTGAATCCAACGTCAGACGATTCTGGTGGACCACATTTATTGGCTTGATTAAAACCAACGATGAGACAGCCACCTCCTTTCATGACAGAACCTGTAATAATATCAATTGCAACATCAATGTCTTGTATATCGATATTTCACTACAAAGACACCTATACTGATGTATCTTGTTTTTATCAAATCGCATTTCTCATGATGTTGCAGGTATCACCGAGGGCTGTTTTATTTATCTACTCCCAACCCACATGCACCCTGAACAACTGATGCTTTGATTAAACAAATCAATGCATGAATTAGTCCAGTAAGCGGCGTCCGATTGGTTTAGCGATTGACATTCCACATCCAGCAGATACAACACTCGTGTTCAACAGCTATTATAAAAGAAGAGCTCTATTGTAGTAAATTGCGCATGCTTTGCTTTGTTTTGACAATTTATTTGTCCTGTCCTGTCCTGCCGTCATCGCCAGTGTTTAATACCCCCTAGACCGCATACTTGAGTAGATCCAGTTCGTTCTAGAATTCTTGAGGGATCCGCACACTGGACCGATTTTAAAGAAGAACAGTGGCTGCAGAAATCGGCGAGTAGAAGACTTCTAAAACACTTAAAACATCGAATGCTATCGCTAAATATATCCGTCAAGTTAAATTTCTTACACAAGTCGCTGGCATCTCAAAACCACGCATTGGACAAGAGAGACATAAGAGGACAACTGATAAGAATTCCAAAGAATAATGTTGCTTTTTAATCGACAAAACGTACCTTAAACTTGGGATATATTTGAATAAAAACAATGAACGGTATCGCAACGATAAATCAATAACCGATCAAAGACCTAAAGGTTATCCGGACATACCGACACTGTGGAACACATCCCGACATATAGACGAACATAAACAGCCAATAATGAGTGATATAAGAAAAGGCATTTTGAATAGCCAATCAGAAAGCGGCTTAGTTCAGCGAACGCCAGGGTCATCTCCCCGACGACCGCCATTTTGAAAAGGAGTCGGCCTTGGTGGTTCTAAGGATAATAAAGATAGATGTAGATGTAGGTTTGCATCTAAAAAGCTCCGAGCATCCTTATAAATCGACCAATCAAGAGCGAGGAGAGACGGTTGAATGTACGGCGAAAATCGCGCATGCTCGAACTTTCCAGCCAATCAGCATCGAGCCTCAAACGGCTGTTACCAGTGCTAACGAAGGGAGAAGGGACGARCGAGGTGCACTGGGGACGAGTATGAGCATATTTGTGTTGGGTGTTGTACAAGTCGCTTACAACATCCGTGTTCGTGTTTTATAGGAAGAGTATTAAATTCACCGGCATTTACCTAATGTCAATAGTAATCACGTGATCACTGTTTTCCTGTATTTAAAGCCCCTTTTTTGTGTGTTTGCTTGAAATTTTTTAAACAAAGCCTAAAGGCCAATAGTCTTCTTCACGGTTACCTGCGCCATCTTGAAAGGTAGCTGTGCCTTTACATCAATCAATCAATCAATCAATTACTTCTTCGTCATTCTGTGAATAACATTTAAGTGTTACTCTACTCGAGTAAACAAGAACTATCCAATAATGAAGAGAGAGTTACATCTATTGAAGCAAGCTTTTCTTATGACGGATTTTTCTTTGAAAGGGTAACGTTTGTAGATAGATCGTTCCAGAGTCTGTAATGGCTGGCCACGTCTTGTGTTCTTTTCATCAGAAAAAGTCAACTTCTTAATATAGCTAATGTTTGGTGATCGTATGATATGTGAAAACCAATTCAGTTGTCATCGAAGCGAGACAACCGTTGAGCGTGCTGATAGATACCTGTGAATAATTGTCTGTAGGTGTGAAAGAAGGTTTCTATCATTGCACGCTCAATAGTCGTCTCACTTCGATCTAATAAAGGCACGGCTACCTTTCAAGATGGCGCAGGGAACCGTGAAGAAGATTATTTCGCCAGATTTATCATTAACTTGAAATGTCTATGTTACGGTGCATGGTCTTCTTTCGCAAGCGGCATTCTTGTCATTTTACCGCAGATAAAAAGCAGGTTACTCAAAAGCTTGGCTTATTTGATAAAAAGAAAACTAATGAAACGTAAGCGATATTCCAACCTTTTCCACCGTTATTCCTCGTGTTCAATTCACCGTTCACATATGCAATCATTTCATTTCGATCCTTGTTGTATGATACACAAAAATGATGCCATCGTTTGTCCTTGATGTTAAACGTAGGAAAYCTAAAAAAGAACATCAAATGAAATATGTTTCTACAAAGAAATAGAAATAAAAACTGTAACAGTGATAACAACCATATTTGAACTGTGCGCATCTGTAAMAGAATGTGCTCACGCCTCACCAACTCTTACATCTTTAGTGTGGAAGTAATTTTTTAAACACTGGCCCAAAGACAGCTGTATCCTTTAAAGAGGTACTCAATGGGTCTCTGTCGTCGTCCCAATAGCCTGCGTGGCGGCTCTCCCCACCCCCTCCCCTTCCGTTTTCCCCCTTCCCCTTCCCCTAGAGCCGCCACGCAGGCTATCGTCCCAACAAAAAACGGCACTAACGTTTTAACTATCACTTTGCCAGATGATGACATTTTTTCTACGTTGTCGAACTCGTGCCGGAAAGAACTATCATCAATTTAAACTCCACATTTGACTTACAAAACATGCGACCCCATGTATTTCAGTAAAACACCATTATTATAACCTCCAATACTCTTGATGTCAATCGCTTGTATGGACTGTTCATTTGCGTAGGATAAAATCGTTTGAGCCCAGAACTCCAATGCATAACTTTGTCTCATCCAGAAGCACAATGWAAAGGAACGTAAGTCTGGGATTCCTGTGTAGTTCAAATATGATTCACGKCTATTGGTCAAGATCATGTCAAAGTCACTTGCTGAAAGACAAGTTAAAAAAAGATTGCCGTGAAAACAATATCTAGGCCTGAAAAAAAAAAACGATATTTGGTTAAATTATATCCATTTTAATTGAAATCACAAGTGAATCGTGCAATCTGATTGGTTCTTAGGCTGCGTTCATAATGTATATCACAGGTGCAGGTGAAATTTTTATAGACACTTTTTGGGGAGGATGACAAATTTTTACTGTATTCAAGAGGGGTGCTAAAAATATTAATTATAAAATCTTAATTACAAATGGAAAACAAGGTATAAATTGTAGAGGTTTCAATTAACGGTTTAAATGCCATATTAGTGTATAGAGAACATGGATAAAAACCAACTACTTTTAGTATACAGAAAAAAGTAAAGTAGCTTATCAGTGTCATTGTTATCATTTTAATCATCATTAATATCATCATCAACTTCATCACCATCATCAGTGTCATCATCGTCATTTGGATCTGCACTTTCCTTGGAAGACTTTGCTTCAGGTTTATGTACTGCCTGCTCGACATGATGTAGAGCTTCATCACAAAACATCTCCTGAGATGCTTCATTGTCTTTAAATGGACGTAGGTTTCAGAGTATGCAATGCTTCTACTGGAAAGGGCCAAAGATATGTGTGCAAATCAAAGAAAAAGAAATGATTTCGAAGTAGAGAACAAAACACACGAAGATTATGACTGGATAGAGTTATTCTCATCACGCGACACTATAAAGAAACCACCTGTTAAAGAACTTGAAAAATATTTAACCTACCATCAATTATCATTAAAAGTCTGAAGAAAGACAAAATTTCTTGGATAATGGCGCACATTAGCTTTTCAACTAACGGCTCCAACATGCATTCATTTAAGAAATATAAAACGGCGCGCGTGTCTCTGTCCTCTGATATAAACACGGTGGGAGTTCGAAAAACACGAGAAGCAAGCTTAGGAACACGAGCGTAGCGAGTGTTTCTCTTGCTTCTCGAGTGTTTTTCAACTCACACCGTGTTTATATCAGAGGACAGAGACACAAGCGGCCGTTTTATATTTCTTTTATAAAATTTTTCGAGCGAAATGAAAATTTTGCCGGTAAGCCGTGTCTCTGTCCTCTGATATAAACACGGTCGTCAGCCAATCAGAGCGCGCGTTATATATGAAAAATTTTATAAAGTATAATAACAGTATTTCCCAAAATGACAAAAAGCAAGAGTAAACAGAGATAGTGAAGATGATGATAGTGAGGACAAAATACTTTCTGTCTTTGGAAGTGAATCAGAAGATGGTTCAAGATTTCCATGAAGAATTAAGTGAAGACGAGTCTGATGAGATGAATGTGCCTTGGGTATATCAAGAATCCGCATTTACCTCTCGATCTGAAAGACAGTGTAGGCTTTGTACGAGGTATAAAGACTGCCTTGCATAGGTAAATTAATAAAAAATAAACCTTATTGTAACATACTACACATATTGTCACATACAAACTTCTATAGTTTTGTTGTGGGGGGGGGGGATTTTTTTAATTTTTGCTTGGGGGGATTGCTAATTTTTTCGTTAGTTGTGGACAGGGTGTTGAAAATTATTCGGTATACATTATGAACGCAGCCTTAACAGGTTGATTTCAGCCTTAAATAAGCACCTGTCTTTTCAAAATGGCGGTGCAATTTCGGTCTGAAATCAAACTTGCTATTACAAATCGCACTCTCGCTTCGCGGTTGTGCAATTTGGTAATCGCGCGTTTGATTTCAGACAAAATTGCACTCCACTCAGTTCAATTAACATTATTTTAACATTGTTGATCTTTAAAGGAATTTCAAAAAGACTTAAAATAACAACTAAAACACGCAAGGCTTTCTGGCCGGCTGTTCTGTTATAACAATTAGAACACGAGGTCTCAGGGACTAAGAGTAGGCCTAAAGGCACTAATAGGTAGGGGAGAGTTGAAAACACTGACCCCCGGTCCACGGACCCCTCCATGGACCATGTCCACGGACCACCCATGAAAACATTGCAAATACCAAATAATAGATTTGACAAGGATTATTTTGTATTTGCTCATCCAATAAAGGGTGTTAAGTTAATGATTTATCTTGTCATGTTGTTGGTCGGCCGCATTGTAACGTCAGTCTTGATTTTTTTTGGAACCACAATCACTCGTGCTTCGATCTTCAGCTTGCCGCATTATAGATTGAAAATTCAAACAGCTTGATTTATAGTGCGC